TCCGGCGGTCTAGACCGCCGGAACAAAATCACTTATCACCGGCGGTTTAGACCGCCGGATAACCGCCGGTTAATGTTGATATCCGGCGGTGTACCGGCGGTTTAGAGACCGTCGGTAATACCGACGGTGTATCGTAGCTAAGCCGTCGATTTGGCCGTCGTTAGAGTCCGACGGCGTAACCGCCGGCGGAGCCGTCGGTAATACCGACGGCCTATAAACCGCCAGTTAAAACCGCCGGTATAGGCCATTTTTCCTGTAGTGATAAGAACTTGACTTTCCAACCAGCAAGTAGAGTAGAAATCCTACTCAATAGTGGTTGGAAGTGAGTGGGGGGAAGTTTTTTAATGCAATGGGTAGGCCAAGATACTTCAGAAAGTTCACCGATAGGGAGTAGCTAGCCAAAAATGGCATTGATATCAGTGGCATGATGGGGGTTACAAGAAAAAATCATGGAACATTTACTTTTGTTAATGAAGAGCCCAGCATGTTCAGCAAAAATGTCTAATGTGTCATTAAGGGCATGAGCATACGAAAGAGTAGCAGGATCAAAAATCAACACATCATCAGCATAAAGCAGGTGGTTGAAGACAGAAGGGACTAAAACCAGAGAGTAAATCATAATTTAATGTGGGCTGATGTTGTTTTGGATAACCTGTTCTGAATCCAGCACTCAAATCTCTGATAAATACCCAAAAATCTGACGTAAATCCCTCACCTCGGCGAACTCTCAATCTCTCGTTTTGTTATAATGAGAAGAGAGCGACTGGTTTTTTTGTCGTTCTCCCAGAAGACAACCTCCAGTTAAAAAGATTTCCAATTATGGTTTTCTTCAACCTCTCGTTCTCTTATTTATCCCCAGTCCAAGCAATTCAAGCCCCCAACCGGCCATATTGAACTGGCTGCCTAATCCATGCATCCAATCCTTCTTATTCCCTCTACCTCCACGAATGCCTCCTTAGAGCTTGACGCCTTGCTTTTTCAAGATCTGCTTATTTGGCCCTCACTTCCAATCGACTCCTGCTTTGATCAGATTTCCCAATCCTGCTCTCAATCCCACTAATTCCTCTTCAACTGTGTTGAAACGCTTGAGACCAAGCCCACGACAGTAATTCCACACTCCTGCACTGAACCACATTTCCCTGTTGGAAGCCGGCCCAGATCTTATTCAAGGTTTCTGTGGTCTGTGGTTACGGAGATGTTGGCAA